AAGAAAATTTCAATTTTTACTATGTTTTATTAATAAATTTGAACACGTGATTCCATAATTACGTTAGCCACTGTATTATTATTTAATTTTTTGTTAGATTTTTGTAATTTTTTTGAATTTATTATTATTAAAGATAAAAGATAAAAATAAAATTATTAATTTTATATTAAATTTAATTTTTGCTTTCTTAAAGAAATATTATAATAAATAATTTTTAGATAATATATATATAAAATAATATATTAAAATTCTAAATTCTTTTAAATCTTCATTTTTCTTACTTAAAATATTTAAAATATTATTTAATTTTATTAATAAATTAATTAACCATAATATAATATATTCAATTATTTATTAATAAAATATTGTTATAATAATATATAATATTTATTTAAATTATTATATTATAAATATTATTAATATCTTTTTTTGAATGCTTAAAATATTAAATTTATTTTTTTTTGATAAGTAATATTAATTTAAATTAATAATTTTAAATATAGTCAAATTCCTCTATTATTTAAAGTTATATCTCTCTATAAATATACTAATTTGCTTTTATATTTATATATAAATATAGTAAAAATATTTTTCTATAATCACATATTCTTTATAATTATCAAATTTTACTTTTAAAAAATAATAACTATAAAAAAATTTGATTATAAATTTGTAAGAATATTTTCTTATATGAAAAGTATTAAGATAAATTTATTAATAATAAAATAAAGAATAATTGATTCTAAATTATTAATTTTAAATTTAACACTTCTCCAAGTTATATTATACTTAATTAGATATATATGAATATAAATAATAATAAAAAATAATTAATACAAATTTAAAAATAATAAATAAAATGAATAAAAAAAGAATTAAAAACAAAGTGTGTCTAAATTAATAATGTGATCTATATTTTACATTTAATTTAATTAGTGAAGTATTAAATATAAATCTGTATTAATTTTTAATATGTTATGCAAAAAATGATAAATATAACACAAAAAATGATGGCTACGATACAAGAAATTACAAGAATATATAAAAATTATTACAGTATAATTATATATATCTAATTTTTCTTTGTTATATCTTGAATATATTTGACTCTTTTAATAGTATTATTTAACTATATTTTATATCAATCAAAAACTATCTTTGTAAAATAAGAAATATCAGATCTGATCTTGTTTTTTAACTTTATATACTCTTTATAACTTATTTTACAAAACTTATTTTCAGTACATTGAGTTCACTAATATTTTTTTTATTTTATAATTATAATAATCTTTTTTTCAACTCTTAAATTTACATATACAAACTGATTACAAAAATGATATATAGTCATATTTATTGAAACAGCCATACAGTTTTCATGTTCTTTTGTAGATATTATTTTTCTTGCAACAAGATATTATTTTTGATCATTAGTTAATTTATTATTATTTCTATAATTTACTAACTTATTTCAATTAAATGAAGTTTTTTTATCATGAATTACTGGAAATTAATAATTATTTTTTCATTTAATTTCATTTAAAACTTAATATTTATTTATATAAATTATATTAAATAATTTAATGACTTATAATATTTTTAGAGATTATGTAATTTATATATATTTAGAGATTTTAGACTTATTAAATTTAATAACTTTATATTCTAAAATATCTGAATTTATTTTTTATATAATTAAAATAACTCTTATATTAAAGTTTTAATAATATATAAAATAGCTAAATTATGTGAAAAACTATTCCAATATATAAATTTTGAATCCAAAAAGATTTATTTTACAATTACAAAAAAGATAGAGAGCTTTTTTGAGAACTAATTGCAGATCAAAAGGAGGTGATAAATATTATAATGAATGAGTATAGATTTTTGTAATTATGAATATAATTATAAAGAAAAAGAATTAATACATATAATGTGAATGTATATATGTACTGAAAAAGATACTGAAAAAGTATTGATAGAGATACCTCCATTAAAGATATTATCAAAAAAGATTTTGGCACATATTGAAAGAAAATTTGAGGATCTATTACTTGTACTAATTGTTATATTTAATTAAAGTAAGATCTGAAAAAAAATATATTATTTAATGATATAAATTGACTATGCTAGCTTTGTTGATAAATTATATAAAACATCCTATATATGAATTTTTATATATTCAAAATAACTACGGTGCTTTTATCATTACTATTTGAATTGCATTTTGATAATTATTATAACATTTGATATGATAAGTTTTTGTGTTTACATAATCACCACTATTTCATATACCTTATATTTTCTTTTTTATGGTCTTTAGTACATAAGAGACATATCTCTGAACAAGTAAAATAATCACCATATTCAGTTCAAGCAAAGAGAAAAAATATAGTGATTTATGAATGAGCCACGCATATAATCAATTTTATTGCACATGATGCTAAGTAATTGTAAAGATTTATAAGCTTAATCAAGATTAAAGATTTCTCTATCAATAAACTCTCTAAATTTATATATCTTCTTAGGAATAGTGACTTCTGGATTTTCATCATACCATACCTCAAGAAGATAAATCTCATTAAGTTGACACAAGGTTCTTTTCTTTCGATCATGGTTAACAATATCCTCGAGTTTTTAACATCTTTATACCAACTAGTGCTGTGAAACTGATGTTGTGCTCCTTGGACCTCCAATGCAATTCGATTATATCAGAAAAAGGCATCAAGTTCTAATCCTTCCATAAAAGATGGTCGATATTCAATCACAGGTTCCTCATTAAGAAGTATCTGGGCTATTAGAATACATTTTTCCTGAAATTTGCGATTTTTCTTAGATTCTAATTCTTTTTTAAGTTCATCTATATCCTGTTCTAATTTCACAACTCTAGCTCTAAGTTCAGCGTTCTCGGCAACAGTATCTGTCCTATTTTTCTCCAACTCATCGATTCTGCTCTTGAGTTCGGTGTTCTCTTCCATAGCCTGTCTTCTGTATTTTTTATGTAAGGCATAGATCTATTCAAATTTCGATTTATGAGTTAGTACACATTGATATCCATACAATAAAGTAAACATTATTATGTATACGATATCGGTATATAAACTTTTTATTATTCCCGATGTACATTATACACCCACATTCATGCATACACGAGTTAAAAACAAGCCTTAAACTTTACGTATTCGAAAACTTTATTATACTAAAAAAATAACCACGACTATATCATCTTCGATGAGAAACTTTCTGTACCCGATAGAATACATATAATGTATGGCAATCATTTTTTGCATGCGCATTATGGTGGGTCGTGGTGCCGATTTAAAGGTAAGCAACCATTGGGAATCGCGATGACGAGCAATACGCAAAGCATCCTAGATATCGAGTTTGAGCCTAAGTAAGTGCATTTACACGAAAATGCTAAGGGTAAATTAACCATAATGATTTAGAAAAAGTAACAATCATTTCAAAAACAAATACTTGTCTTTTTTCTTTATTCCAAGACACTTAAAGAATCCTCGATATCTACATTGTATCGAATACAGGACAAATTCGTAGCATATTACAGGGAAGTTGAATATTTCATTCACATATTTTCCATAAATGCTCAATACAATTTTGCCCCCAGCTAAAAAATATTTTGTTTTTATTGCAAAAAAGATAACATCACTTTTTACAAGACTTTCATTAACTGTTCGTTCTTGTTTTGCATTAGGACTATGCAATTTATGATGAAGTGAGATTTACAAACACCCAACGTATGTAATGCATTTTTAGTCTTTGTAACAGCAATCTCGTCAATTTCCCATGTGCCAAATAATTGATCTAATCTTCGTAATTCTTGAGTTTTACTACAACGTTTAATTTTACCATCCGTAATATCCTGATCGATGATAACACAAGCCATTAAATTGTGAGTTTCCTTGTGAATACTTGGAATTATTAATTCTTCCTCTTTTTTGATATTTGTATTTGCTAAAGATGTCGTTTCCGAATTAAAATTATAATCAACTTCATCCCAGTTTATATCTTCTTCATCAGATATGGTAGTATTTTTTGCACTTATAAATGCTTGAAAGTCATATTCGAGAATTTCATTTATTTCATTTTCACTATTTGAGATCCATTCCATATAGTCTGATTCACCAATACTTGTTGCTGACTCTTCTTGCTCTGAAGAATATGAGTGTTCGCTACCTTCAATACCAATAGAAGAAATGGTTGCCATTTTTAATATTAAGATCCTTTTGAGAATTTTCGGAATATTGTAAAAGCGTATTAATAAAGTAATAAAACTTGTCTTTGGGAAGCAATAATATTATAAATGTCACGTAGTTGCAATAGAAGCGAAGATAATTTTTCTTGTAATTTTTTATAATCATAATATGTAAATGATATTAATCATTACATTTGTCCTTATTTTTGCGTGACAGTTTAATTAACCTTATTAACCCGTTAATGTAGATCTTTAACTAATATATACGTACAATTGTCTGAAATTAAAGAAAAGTTTACTACTTTTACGCAAAGATCTTTTAAAAAATATTTCAGCTATAGCAACGATAATTAGATGAATAAAGAGTAAAAAACTTGAAAATTAATTTCAATTAATAACATGAAATAGGTGAATTTGTAATATTATGATGTTGTGATAGAACCAAAAATTTTGTTTTTCGACATTTTACTAAGAAACATATAAGTGTAACAATGATTTATGCATTCGCTGATCTATTAATTAATACACTGGAAGAGACGTGTCCTGTGACCGTTATAATGTTGGCGGGAAGTCTACGGACAGTGCATAGGGACAGTGCAAAATCATGTGATCTTTCCGGCCAAGTGCCGGACAGTGCTTAG